TCTAAAAAGCACACAACTTCTGCAGTTTGAGAGTATTTCAGGTTAAGCCGATAAACACTGATGAGGTCAATGTGCAAACAAAAACTGAGCGTAAAAGATGCACACCCTGTTGGAACCGGAGAGGAGCAAGCCAAAGCTGAGATAGCAGCCTTCTGTCTGGAGCCTGATATTAAAAGATGATAATGCGCTTTTCTGGTGAAAACCATGCTGCCAGCCTTCCCCAGATGTTGCAACAAGACCCAAAGTACCCAGGTGTCTTTGCCACAAGCTCATCAAAGCGGGTTTTCATCAGTCGGCCCACAACGCCATATGTCGAAGCTGGAAAAGGTAAAGATTCTGGTTTTTCAGACAAAAACATTTTATAAGCTGTGGGGTTTTTTTATTGTTAATATTATGTGTGTTACGTTGTTATTGCTTTAGTAATGGTGTTTGTTTTTCAGTTTCTGGACGGTGAAGGTCCAAATCAGCAGTTTGATAATTCCAACTGAGTCTTACGTCATAATTTTTAAATTAGTCCCGGTAAAATTGTACATCGTGGTAAAATGTGAAGGAAGCTGGACGGTATTAAAATTTGTATACAGCCCAAGCCTAGTTTGCATGTGAATTTCCTGGCTTTCAATGCTCACATTTTCACTTAGCAATGTAATGAATGCAACACCAGTCAGATTCATTCATCACACTCACACGGAGTAAAACACTACTGATTTATTAATCAGTCTAGAAACGAGTAAATGGTTCAGCCATACAACACAATCCCTTCTCTCATCACTCTCTTGATTTTACCAAGATGCTGTCACTCATGAACTCCAAATCACTTACCTTGGCTTTTTTCCTACCATGACTGTGGTTTTGAGTTCGTTTCTGATAAAAGAAAATAGACAAAAGCAAACATTTTCTTAATTTCAACAATAGGATGTAAAGTAAATGGACACAAAGTTCCAATATACCCATTTGGAAACCGACTAAATTACCACAAAATACCCCACAGCCGCAGAAATGTAGTTTCCTTCATAATGATCAGTCTAACCAAATAAAATGTTGTTAAAAAATTTGGCATGAGTACTGTTCACGCTGAATGTGGAGCATGTTTCAGACTAAAGGCAACTCTAAAACAAACACATTTACAGCAGGGAATTTTAGATCTCGCTGTTTTTTTCTTCTAGTCTCTGATCTCTATGTCGCTGCTTAATTGCACGACGACAAAGCTCATCACACGCAGTGTAGATAAGATGTAGCTTCAAAGCCGAGGACCCAATTGACTTTTGGCTATTTTATACTCAAGTTAGAGATGGCAATGCTTGGCATGCTCAAGTGAAACAAAATATTTCTTGGTGAGTGAGACGATTTAAGAAATTTCTCAAATCCCTGCTAAAAAATAAATATTCCTAAAATGTTGGATCATCCTACTTCAGCCAAGCACTGTCAATCACATGAATAACATTACTGATACTAAAAAAAAAAAAATGCATAATTTTTTGAAAAAGGAGAAATTGCAGACATAAATCTGCACAGAAACAGTAGAAATGATACATAACTGGCTCATTTATACAGTTTTATACAGAAACTGTATTAATGAATAAGGGCTAGAATATACTTGCTTTTAATGGCACATACGCGTGTTTAAAATGTCTGCCTTGTGTAACTTGTGTTCATTTGAAGCACTGTTTGTGCACGTCCCCCGAAATTAATGTGACGCATTCAAACGCTGCAAAATTTGAGTAACCAGTAGGTGGAGTTGACAAAACACACTCACCGTGGTGATGTCACCTCTAGTTTAGAGGTCTTTCATACGGTCTATGATACTGTAAAAATAACCAGTTACTGCCCTCTTCTGTTGATGCTATGTTTGTTTTGGTTGTACCCCACAAACTTGCTTCTCTATCCGTGCTGAGTAATCTCCTGTGCCCCCTAGCGGAATCACCCAGTAGTACACGCTGTGCAGCAGAAAGTATGAACAAAGACGCAGCCTGCCTCCTGCGCCAACACGAGATTAAAAAACAAGTATATTCCGGCCTAAACAGTCTAAAGTCTTCTGGTATTCATACGTTACTTCCTCCCACCTGTGGATCCTGTGAGGAGCTATCTTCTGGCTCCAGGCCCTCTCCTGTCCCATCCTTGGTACCTTGTGGTTGAGGAGAGCTCTTGCCTCGACTGCAGGGCACAATTAGTGGCCCACTCTCTCCCTCCTGCTGGATGTCGGTTGTCAGGCTCACTGACATCTTCTTAGGGGAGGGGAGAGGGTGGGAGTGGGAAGGGGATAAGGTGGAGGACCCAGCAGTGGCTGTGGAAAAACAAAAAAGAGGAATGACATAAGAGGAAAACTCTGCACTGAAAGAATGAGCTTTTCTTTTCAACTAAAAGCCATTATAAAAGTAGAGAAACCAAAACATAATGTTTACTTCACAATACCTGTAGGTGGGACCAGGTCTATGCTGGACTATGTACAGTGAATGTGGGCAGAAAGTGCACGCAGAAAGTTGAGGGAAACCCACTAAGGTAGGGTACTGGGGTGGGCTGCAGCAGGGGGCGCAGTGCTGTCCATAGCAAATTTCTGCTTTAGGGGGTAGGGCTGTGGGGAAAAGCAAAAGGTAGGAAAATAAAATTCTAACATTTTGTATTGGCTGCATAAATGTAAAATCTAACAGTCTTTCTGCAGAAATTTGTTCTCTCACTACTTTTCACTTTCCAAAAGGCCATTCTATCTTACCATTAGAGTACCAGCTTTTGTAAATGTTAGTAGTTTTTATTTAATGACTTATTTATATTATCATTATTTGCTTCTTTTGTCACTGTCATAGATTAAACAAATGTTATGGCTTTGGTGATAAGAACTGAATATTTTGTTGGTGTCTATGGTGTTTATTGTATCCTATGTACATGCATGTCCCTGAGGTCCAGTGACCAAAGCCTACTGGGTATGGAGCACACCAGTCTAAAGACCAAAGGTGACAGATCATTTACTGCTGTGGCCTCCCTGAGCCTGAGATCAGTGGACTCAGTGGTCTCCTTTAAAAAGCAGCTGAAAACTTACTTGTTCAGGCTGGCTTTGGTGTGACCTTCATCACAACCCTCACCTTATCCTGCTTTTTCTACCAACTCCGCCTTTCCCAGACCCACTGATTTCCCTCTTTCCTATAAATGTAACGCGACTCGACCACCGACTGTGTTTACTGGGGGACATGGATATTTTATCTCCACAAATAACACAAGCCTGGAGGAGCTTCTGTCTTTTGCTAGAGTTGCTAATGCTAGCGGTTAGCTTCAGTTGACCAAGACATTCTCTGCTAAATCTGGGCGCTAAACCAACAGCCTTCCCCATTGTGAGTCAATATGAGTAAGTCCAACTCACAATGTGAAGTAGATCTTTCAGGATTTTCAAATCCTAGCGTTTCATTATATATTTTCTATCAGAATCTAATGCAGGAGATACGTGTACGAGACTTCTTTCATATTCAGCCTGCAAGAAAAACTCAGTGATTGATCATAATAAGAAAAAAATCATTAAAAAATTGTTTTTCAGTCAATCACACCTTTAAGTACTGTGTATTGTTTTCAAAAACTTTCCACAACTTAGTGTGTTACTTTCACATTTCGATCATTACTGAGCTAACAATGTCACATTATCAAATAAGTTTAAAGTACACTTCTGTCAATTTTCACTGCCTGGCCCCCAAAATTTACACACTCTAATATTTAGCTTTAGCTTTAAATACGACACACATTCGCCGTGGCATTGTTTCAATAAGCTTCTGCAATCTCACAAGATTTATTTCCATCCAGTGACTCTGTGGTGGCCAATCTATGTGTGAAAATTATGTCTCATGCTCCCTGAACCACTCTTTCACTATTTGAGCCAGATGATTCCTGGCGTTGTCATCTTGGAATATTCCCGTGCCATCAGGGAAGATGGAATAACTTGGTTATTCAGTATATTCAGGTACTAAGCTAACCTCATTCTTGGAGCACATCCTGTTGCTGAACTTAGACCTGACCAACTGCAGCAACCCCAGATCATAGCACTGCCCCCACAGGCTTGTACAGTAGGCCCTAGGCATGATGGGTGCATCACTTCATCTGCCTCTCTTCTTACCCTGATGCACCATCACTCTGGAACAGGGTCCATCTGGACTCAGACCAGTTTTTAATAATGCACTGGCTCCTACCCATTTGCTTAGTTAAATCCAGGTGTCAACTTTATTTTTGGCCGGGCAGTGTATAATGGTAACATGCAGGGAAAGCTAAAACTACAACTGAACTGAAAAATGAACTCATTTAACTATCAAATTTGTAAGAACAGCAAAAAACACAAAAAAAATTTCATTAAATAACTACTTATCCCTTGGTTATGGTTAAAGTATTCTCAATTTACACATTTTGTTAAAACTACATTAACAACAACATGCAAAAAATTTCAATAAACAAAAAATATAAACATATTTACAGCGATCAGGTGAACTGAAGAGGCAGCAGTTTGCCAACCAGGGACGGAGGGAGGAAGGGAGGGGGGGAGGGGAGGCACCAACAGGCCAAACACCACCTCAGAGGTCGTCTAGGGCCTCTCTTCTCTGCCTTCGGCTTACTGCAGCAGCATGGTCTTGCCTACAGTCTGGAGCCCTGCACACCATAAGCAGAAGAGGAAGACACGAATGACGTCATGTTTCACACACTGAGTGACTCATCGCTGCTGCTGCTAATTCTGGCAAGGAGGAGGGCAGAGCAGCCGAGAGCTCAGCGCTTACCAGGACATTGGGTTCTGGCACCCAAATACTCATGTGTTCATCATTTTAAACAATCAGCACTGGAAACATGTGTCTTTAAAATCAGAGTATTGTGCATAAAATGCTTTTGTGCAAAGAAAAAAGGACTGATTGTTTGCATCATCTGGCAAAACCAAGATCTCCTAAAATTACTACCCGTAAAATGTAACAAATAAATACAATAGCAACTTTTTTTGTTGAGTGTACGGATTCATGCAAAGACTTAGTCACCAGAAAATCTGTCACATCTAATCTGTATTTTCCAGGTCAGAGGACATACAGAAGAAATCATGACTTTGTTATAATTAAAATGATATTTTATACAAATATTACAAAAGCAAGAGTCAGATAAAGCTCAAGCACAAACTCACACATCCCATGATGGCGGTTAGATAAGAAAGCAGCATGAGCAATTGACATGTCTGCCCCATTGGAACAGACAAGGCAGAGATTTCTAGTGAGGGGAAGACCCAGGCGTTGCAGCAGGAAAAGCGTCATCAACACTACATCATTGACCAGGACACCCACAAGCCTGCAACACTTTGCTTGGAGAAACCTATCACTGCAGCAACAAATACAGCCACACTGTAACTCAAGTATTTTGTGTTTTGGCCTAAAACGAGTGCATGGTTTTGAACAGCACACCAACAATGATTATTAATTTCAAATGTCAACCTGAAAGCTCACGAAAGGAGCAGACTGTCTTGGATTAATCATCAGGAGAAGCTGTGCATGGCACTGAAAATCAGAACCTGTAATAAGATACTTATGAATAAGCCAGATCCTCCTCCCATTCTTCTGTTTGCTCGGTTCTGTCATCAACACTCTCCAAAGCTTCCCTCAACGCAAACACACAATGCAGCCCACAGGGTTGCAGAGGAGATGATAACGTCATTTGATCTGAGTGAGTAATGTGAAAAGAAAGGAGGAAGAGCAATTTTAAGCATAACACCTAATTGGTGTAAACCAGGGGTGCCCAATCCTGGTCTTGGAGGGTCGGTATCCAGCACGTTTTAGTGGTTCCTCTGCTCCAACATACTTGATTCAGTGGTTGTATCACCTGGGCAGCAGCTCATCAGGCTCTGCAGTAGTCTGTTAATCATCTGCTGATTGAAATCAGGTGTGTTGAAACAGAGTTAAAACTAAAACATGCTGGGCAATGGCCCCTCAGGACCAGGATTGGGCACCCTTGGTGTAAACAGATGGGCCATTCCCATCTGTACCGGGTCGGCCCGGGCCGGGTAGCCCCAGTCGGCCCCAGCCTGGCCCGGTTGATTCCACACATCCTTGTCTTAAGCCCATGTGGGCTGATTCTACCCACCAATCAGAGGCTTGCTCTAATGGAAGGTGTGAATTTGCTGTCAGCAGTGGGTGTGTTGGCCCTGGTCGGCCTGAAGCAGACCCCCTCGAGAAGAGGGCTGAGAATGAGCCTTGGTTGGCCCGGAAAAATACCAGGCCACCCAGATATGTAAACAACCTACGCTATCCGGCCCGGGCCGACCCGGTACAGATGGGAATGGCCCAAAAGATAAAAGCAAATACAGAAAGAAAGACAAGAAGACACGTTATGGATCTGGTCCCATTTCTTCTAACTGGGAGGATAATTCATCATTAAGTTTAGGATGAACTGATTAAACCTCTTGTAGTAATAAAATCTGTCTCTAACTGCTGTAAAATAAACTGGTGTCAACTTTTGAGTCATCAGTTCAAATCCCTTTACCAGCTTTTCGACACTCACCAACATCTAGATCTTGGGTTCAATGATCAAGTGCACTGGGCCACATTATTCTGATGTTTTTATAGTATTGACAAAATCTCCAGTTGTTAATGAAAAATGTTGCTAACTGTGCAGAAAATGACTGCCCTTACTGGTGCCAACATCAGTTCCATGCACCTTAGTAACTGAAAAATAAATATTGTAAATTAAGTAATGGGTACGGTGCAGATTCAGCAATTGCAATCCTGCCAGTAGATCCTTTTCACTGTTTGTCCCATTTTAGCATTTGTAGAAGAGCCCGATGCTAACACTGACTGCATCAACACAAGGGCTGCACATATGCAGGACAACAAATGATTCAGACAAGGACTAGCGCTAGTCAAAATGTAGCAAGACGTATTCACATCAAGCTGTCCTCATAAGCCTACAATCAGGAAAAAATGCACTGTGATAATCATTTGTTAAAATGATCAAATTGATCTTTTAGGGCAATCAAAATGTATAAATATGCTTTTTTATGCATAATACAAATGATCAAATATTGAACAATAGAAGGTAACTCATTCAGGGACTTTTATCTGCTTCAAAGACAAAGTTCCTTAATTTTCACAATACATTTGCAGTGGTCTCCTGTAAATGAACGCCTTGTGAGTCGATCTCCATGGGGAAAAAATGCTCATTTACTCTCGTTTCAGGAACTAGAAGCGAGCCAGGCAAAATTTTAAAACTCATGTTTGTTTAGTTTTTAACACTTTAAAAAACAGTGTGTGTGTGTGTGTGTATATATATATATATATATATATATATATGTATGTGTATATATATATATATATATATATATATATATATATATATATATATATATATGACACATAACTTTGCCACCCCCACAACCCATCAGCCTGAATCAGCCAACCGGCATTATGTGCATAACTGGTCTTACATTTCTACACGCTCTCCTGATGACAAGCATGCAGATGAAGCACAATGACATGCACTGCCTGGCTCTGCTCACTGGGTCAGGTTACCACATCAAGTGTTCTTATTGTTGGGAATGTCATGGAGAGTAATCACACCAGTCAACAGTGTATATTAAAACATGCATACTGTATATGACAATGGGCTATTCTAACAAAATAGTCCATGGTATACGAGCTCTCAATCTAATTGAGCCAACTAGGCCAAACTGGGTCATGGTCTTTCTGGGCGAGTTCACAGCCAGATAGATCAGGGGAGTTCTGCATAATCAATGGATAGTCTACATATATTTTCAGTCAAGGGACTTTTGGATAAATGTCATCCTGCACCTAATTCACAAAGAACAATTACTGCATATTCTTACACATTTATTTTGGATACTTAAAAGCACTATTTATCTGACGGGCAAACTTAAAATATCTCACTGGACAGCAAACATGTCTATCTATACTCTCCACAGAAGCTGAATGAAAGATGAAGGGAATGATGAATGGAGCTAGAGAACAGTGCAATAGGAGTGAGCATGCACGTACAAACCCACAGACACACACATACACACACACACGCAGCTCGACCCAATTCAACTCTTCGGTATTCTGCTGCGCACCTCACCCATTTGACGTCAGAGGAAACCCAATCCACTAAAGGCAGAAAGGTTATGTCTTCACTAAGCAAAGGCTGCAGTGTGTACTAATTGCAGTTTGTGCAAGCTCAGAGCCTGCACATATCATATATCAGCAGCACTCGCAGTGAGTGCGCACTAGCACTTGTCTATGTCAGAGAGGATTCCCCTTTGCGTTGGCTGCGGTTTCATTCAGGGAGTGGAAAAGAGGACTGGCAGAGAACTAGGGAAAGTAGGGTAACAATAAATGTATATCTGCAACAGAACACAGTATATACACCATTTACATAAAGTTATGTAAATACACTATATCATTTCCACCCATAAATTTTATAGAAGTTATTAAACGCTACTTATCCTCGCTACTTGCGAGTACAACAGCTACTTATATGGCACAGCAACAAAAACAGATTAGGGAAACATGAATCGTCAGACGCACCGGAAGACAGGGTTTCTCTTTTTCCATCTGTCTCTTTCTGTCCTCCTCACTGCTACTCCATCTCTTGCTCGGAATGCAATGAGGATACCCCATCCCGCCTCCTACCCCTCTACATTAACCCCTCCCTTCAAAGAATGCTTCCTTCCACCATCTACTAATCGTTACAGCTCGCCACCTCTTTCATCATCTTTTAAAGTATCTTCTTAAATTGTCAGGCTTGCTGCTGACGCCATCCTCCTCCACTCAGCCAACCCACTCAGTCCTGTGGGACGAGCTATGACTCATTTTCTCTTTCATTCCTTGCTCTCCCTCCCTAGTTGCCTACTAGTCTACCTTTCTGTGTCTCTCTCTCTCCTTCTGTTGATGGCTGTTTATAGTTACTGAATGTGAAGAACATGTAAATAAAAAACAACAAAAGCTGCAGATTTATTTCTTCATAGAAAAAATGCTTCATATGAATGGGAAGATCCTGATCCTAGATGCACTACTGGTGAATTTTGTGGGCCACAAAAATGCTTAATTTTTATTAATTAAAATTTAAAAAATCAACCAAGAAAAAAGCAATCCTTGAAAAAGATAAGAAACTACTATACGATTTCTGTCTTGCAATGTAACAACAGATCATATTTTTTTTAAATACAAAAACGTGTTATTTTATAAAGCTTATGTCTGGAAATTAAAAGCTGACCTAGTCATATATTTCTCTGGAGGAAGCCAGAAGAGGAGGATTTATAATCTAATCTAATATGTGGAACTTAACTCTCATCGTCACCGCGACACTATGGATAAGCACTGATTGATAATGGATGGATGTATAACTTATCCTTCATGAAACTTGACAATGAAAAAAATTCAGTTTTCATGGAGGTTTCCCATGTTAAGTCAAGGTAATGTCTCTTATTTGTTATTCAAGTATTTTTACTTTTAGTCTTAAGAAATGTAAGCTTTTCTGAGACAACCATATTTTTTAACAACAAAGAGTCTCTTCAGAAAAGAGCCGTAGCTTGAGTTTCATATAAAATACACCAAATGCATGGCTAAAAAACATATTCACACCTATGCAAGTTTACAGATGGCATTTCTCTATTGCTACATCTCAAT